CTGGAGGGTGCGTCAAATACTTTTCTTCTTGGAGATCTTATTTCTTTGTCTGAAATTTCTATCTTCATGGAGACCAAACCAGACCAAGTTATAGTTCTTATCTGTGTCGAAGCAACCCCGTTCACAGTCAGAATGCACGTTTCTCTTGGTATTTTCGAGCTATAAAACTGCCTGTAGTTATGGTGGATCTGTTTTAAGGAGTTTATTTTCCTGCAGTGGTAGAGGACAAGCAAAGAGAGGTGTTAGTTTTGGAAGAACAGAAAATTGCTGCTATGTTTTTTGAATGGATTTTTGAAATTTTGTGCTACAAATTACAGCCAAATTACACTGACCATGGACACATTTTCACACAATATACCAGCATGCTACCAGCTTAGAATTGTGGAAAGGTGTTCTACTTTATTTTTTGTGTGGTTCATAGATTAGTTGTTTTGTTGTTCTACAAACGTTCTGCTGTAATTACTGCACAAATATTTTAGAATCTCTCATCAAATAAACAGTGATGGCATTACTTTACCTCAATATGTTTGTTCAGAATTAATGAATAGTTCACAGAGTTATATTGAGTGAAGGGAAAGCAAGGCAAGTTTATTTGTATAGCACATTCGTACAAAAGTAATTTAAAGTGTTTTACAGAATAAGAAAGATATTAAAATCACAATACAAACAAATCAAAGCATAAATAATCATCCTGAAATATTTAAAGAAGAGTGCAGAATAAAAACCTTTCAGTCATATGCACAGCTAAACAGAACTGTTTTGGGCCTGGATTTAAATATTTTACTTAGTAGAACTGGTTGACTTAATGAGGAACTATTAGAATTATTGGAGAAAAAAAACGACTATGTGTACAGGTAAGTTCTAGTACAGCATCTGTTTTATCTTCCCTTCACTGGCTGCCTGTGTGTTTTAGAATTGATTTTAAGATTTTACTGATCACTTTTAAAGCTTGTTTAGGTCTTGCACCAAGTTACATTTCAGAACTTTTTAACCCCGTACGAGCCTCCCGCAGCCACAGATCTTCAGGCAGGTCCCTGTGGCTGTTTCAAAGTCGAGGCTGCGGATGAAGGCTGGTCGAGTCTTTTCAGTCCGGGCACCTCGGCTTTGGAACAACCTGCTTGAGGAAATAAGGCTCACACCATCAGTATCATCTTTTAAATGACTAATTTTTATCAGTCGGCTTTCCTTTAACTGGTTTTAGCTTGATTTTATTCCATATTTATTTTCATTATATTTCTTTTTATTTATTTGTTATAATTTATTGGATTGTTTGCATCATTTTGTTGTCATTGTGTCATTCTGCCTTCTTGCATGCTATTTTTATGCTTTTTGTATCATTCTTTGTTGCTTGTTCAGCACTTTGTAAACCTTGTCTTTAAAAGTGCTTTAAAAATAAAGATGTATTATTTATTATTATTAAAGGAAAAATGTCACTGTCAAAGACCAAGCTAATTTACTGCTTGCCTTCTTTACTGTTGTCCTTGTAAAGTCGATGTAAATAATAATTTGTCTAAGACACCTTCACTGTCATCCTTTACTTTAGAATTTTCCTTAAGATGATATTAAACAAATCTACCTTATATTTATTCAATTACAGGTGGTATTATTGCTAAAATATACCTAGATAAACAGGCATTCTGAATGTGAGTGGGCTTGCCTCTCCACAGACCTTTAACTTGGTCTAGTTTGGTCGCCATGAAGATAGAAAGGTTTAATTCCATACGGTGAAACATTACAGACAAAGCAAAAACTTCTCCTTGAAGAAAAACATTTGATGGAAGAATAATTCTGCAAGCCACTCTGGGTTTCGTAAATGTAGAATAGTCAAATAATTCTGTCTCCCACTCTGTTTGGCCTCGTGTGAATGTGCTGTTTGAGAGGTTTCTTTGTCAAACCGAGCAAACACGACGAGGAAGGGCAGAACTATGGCAGGAGAGAGAGCATGGCTTAAGCTTGTGTACTCCTCAAACATCAAATGCTGTTTTACCCATGAAATATCCATGGAAGTCAGAGGTCACTGCTGAGCTTTTTTGTTGTTGTTTTGATCTCTTGGCCCCAGCCCTCCCACCAGTGATAGAAAATATTCTTTGCTATGTTTTCTCCATAAATTACTAGAAGCGTTGTATATTGCAAGAGACAAAAGAGGCTTGCATCAGCTCTGTGGAGAATAAGAAGGCTGTGACGTTGAAATAAAGAGAACTTCAACAAGGTGTATTCATCCAGCTGTGGGGCAAGGCTAGTGTGATGTAAGAACAGGTGATGTCTGTCAGGCGCTCTGCTTCGGTGCATAGCAAAATCCTGCTCTCAACAGTTAAGAGTGTAATTACTTTGCTGTGGTGGAAAAATAGCATGAGAGAAGAGAGATTTGAGAAGATAATCCATTGTGGAGAAATAATGTGGGGGGAAAAAGGAAAGAAATAAAACATATTTCAGTCAGAATGACATTGAACAAGGATGTTTTATATTGCAGACATAAGACGAGATGCTGTAACTATTTCACCAGTTCAACATAAGAGTATAATGTAGTGTTGTTGCCTATATGATGTTATATACAGTATATAGAGAGTAGTGGCTCAGGTTAAAGAGCCCATATCACGCCATTTTCTGGCCTATGTTAATGTTATAATAATAATCATAATGATCATGATAATAATGTTGGTTTCTCATGTTGTGTTTTGTTTCATTCACTCATGTTTAACACAGAGACACTGCATATTTAGGTTCTTTAGTTCTTCCTAGATAGATAGCACTCTGTGAGACGTTGTGATGTCACGTGGTAATACAGGAAGTGCTCCACTGTGCATTTAAATCCCATATGCCTTCACTAGAATCATTTGGATAATTTCAGCCCTGGAATTGCCAATTTCTAATGAACTAAAGGTAAAAGGTTGCTGTTAACTTAAAAACTGCCACTTCATGATATCACAAGGTGGAACAGAGCATGTTGAGCTTTGGAGATGTAGGCTACTAATAAAAGGGCCACTCAAATATGTGTGAATGAAACAAACACAACCCCTAGTACACCACCAGTTAAAAGTTTTAGAACACTGTAATTTTTCCAATTATTTATTGCAATTGAAGTCATGCAAGTCCAATGAACAGCTTGAAATGGAACAAAAGTAAGTACTGAACAACCAGAGGTTAAAAAAAAAAGATAAAAGATAAAAAACACAAGTCCAAGCTCTCCCAAAACTACCTCAGGAAAAAAGAACAAGATGATAAGCTTGAAAACATGGAGTGGCCAGCACAGTCTCCAGACTTAAAACCCATCGAGCTGGTTTGGGATGAACTCAACAGAAGAGCAGAAGCCAAGCAACCTACAAGTGCCACACATTTATGGGAACTTCTGCAACAGACTTGGGAAGAACTTTCTGAAGAATATTTGATTTCTATTTTAAAAAGAATGCATGTGAGAGTGTGTTCATCTGTTAAATCTGCCAAAGGTGGACACTTTGATGAATCAAAAGTTTAGAATATGTTTTGGTCAACATTAAACAGTAAAAAAACTGGAAAAAGTCTGGTGTTCTAAAACTTTTGACAGGTACTGTATGTTTTTCAGGGGGTAACAGCATTATAACATTTCTTAAAGTTCATCAGAGCAAGAATTTTGCACTATATAGGACCTTTAAATAAGTGCATACTCACTGTGCTGGAACATTCACCAACCCATCAGAGTGAGAGACGTGTGGTGGCTAAACGATGCCATTGGTGCAGATTAATAGCCACTTCTCTGTCAATCAGGTGAAGCACTAATCTAATTTTTTCACTTTTTTTTATATAGCATTTGACCACCTTTTATACACTGAAAGCGCTTTACATCAAGGAACCACTCACTCATTCACACACACATTTTAAACACAGCTTTTCTCAAAATTGTTGTGATTCATTTATAATACTCGTGACAGTCCAGTATGTTATTTTGGCTACTTCCCCATCCCCTTCACCATTTTATACTCAGACTCCAATGCCTTATAGCAGCAGGTGCACTCTTTACCTTGAGTGGCTCTCTGGCTTCTCTTCTCCAAACAGAAAGTGTTCCACCAGCTGCATTTTCCTTATTACCTTCTATAGTACTTTTTACGACCAAAAATTGTCACTGCACTGTGTCAAACCTCAGCTTATAGACCTTGCCTCACACTCCGACCCATTTTACAGGCTATTCCACCTTACGCGTTGTACAAATATCAGTAAATCAAGACATAAATATACTGAAATGTTTTTGTTTACGAGCGGCCTATGGAGCCTGCACCCTTATCTTGTGCTGTAGTGTGATATGAGCAGACTTAACTTGACACTAGCGCCCACAGCACTGGTAACACTCAATGACCCTCTTTGCATTTGTATTCATGCCAGAGCACTGTTTATTTGCAGAGAATGATACAGGCTTCTGCACCTCTGATATTGCTGTATTTAGAGAAACAAGATAGCATTGCAATGAGAATATGCAGACATTTTCACAGCCTGAATTAGCCTGGAATCTAGGAGGCAGAAAGGTGTATACAGGTTAGATTCTTATTTAAGCAACTGCGAGGGAAGTTGGAAGTTTGATTCCTGCAGGCATTACATATTCCTGTTGTATCCTTAAGCAAAACATTTCACCTCCTGCAAAACCACCTGCATCTGAAAATGCTATGTGTAAAACAACAAGCTTTCGGATTAGTTGCTGGTTAAGTTTCCTTAGCCTCGTTGTATGAACCTGCTTTTGTAACCTTGTTGTGCCATTTGGCAAAACACTTTGATCAGCTCACATGTGTGGCACTGGTGTACAAATGTGTGGTGACAGAGAGGAAGACAGAGTCTGGGCCAAGGATTTGGGACATTAGAGAAATACAATGCATTATTTGTGTAAACTATGTATGTTACAAACATTACAGTTTAATTATAGATTTCTCACATCTGATTTCAAGCTTCTTCCCACTTGAATGTATTAAAATGAAAAAAAAAAAAATAAAAATACTGGGGTTATTTTGTGTTAAAGTATGTCTTCCCTTCTCCCACAGAGGCCCAGCTGCTCCCGGGGAATAACTTCACCACAGAGTGTAACATTCCCGGGAACTTCATGTGCGGCGATGGCAAGTGTGTCCCGGGCGGGTGGCAGTGTGACGGGCTCCCCGACTGCTTCGACAAGAGTGACGAGAAAGGCTGTCGTAAGTCTCACCCTTTTATGATCTTATTTATAACCCTTTATAGTGCTGGGCACCAAAATGCAACAGAAAGAACCAACCAAAAAGATTTGGTAAGGACTGGTACCCAAACATCACAGTTTGTTTGGTGCCAACTTTCAGCTCCTTGGCTTAATTGTAAGTGTCTGTTAGTCAATAAATGCACTGTACTGATTTATCAGCAGGGCAGGTGCTCACACATCCTGACTCTGCTCTGCACAATGTGCACATGTATCCACCTGAAAACACATGAAGACGCCAGTGTTTGGCTTTTACAGAGTCAGAGTCAAAGTGTTGTGCATTACAATAAATCCACATCCAGTCACAGTCTGCAGTGTCAGCATAAAGCTGAAGCCAAATAGAGAATATGAACCAAACTCTGCCAACATCCTCCCCCTCATGGGTCCTGGTAAAAGCATAATTCCAAAATGTGGTGTAGTAAATATATCCGGTGTGCTTAAAGATGTATCCAAGCAAGTCTGCATAAAGTTCTCCATAATCCTCCTCCTCTGCTCACATAACCACAAAGTAAAAGCATAAAGTTATTTATGTGCTCCGCAGCACTGCCTTTGACATAAAGTTTTGAATGTTTGAAAAACAAAAGTGAAACTTGTGTCGGTCCACTTGAGGTGCTCTGGTTCATTTGTTTCATTGTTCGTAACATCATATAGCCTAGTATGTTTTAAAATATAAGTTAACATAATAACAACATAATTAAAGGATTGAAAAAATATTTTCATAATAGCCTTGGCCATTATTTTATGTCTTCAAAAAAATAGGCACCAAAAAAGGAACTGTCTATGAACCGATATAGAGAAAAATCAAACGGTGCATAACCCTAACCCTTTACTTGTTAAAACTATGGTCATTTTTCCAGTTTTAAACAATCTGAATATCAAGTGGCACTAAAAATATAACATTTTGCTTGTTGCTTGATTATAAATAGAAGTTATTTTAATTAATCTTAGTCATCTTTGATTAGTAGTAGCAATAATTGGCGTAGTTACTCCAAAAATAGTTTTCAGTAAAATTGAAAAGTACACTTTATTGCTTTTCATAGATAAAAATCACAAAATGTATTGCATGAATAAGTTAAAATAAAAATCCAAAGATCCAAATAGATAAAACAAATTACATCCCAGTCAACTAAAAGTTTTTCTAAATAAAATAGGGATTGCCTGGGCCTCCATAATCTCAGTACAAACCTGTGGGAAACTTTGTAAAACCCCAAAATCTCTGTTCTCGTGTGAACTTTGCTGCTAATTTCTCAGACCCCCGGACACACTTTAACACCAGGGTCGCGTGTAATACTATCAAAGGAAGCGCCCGATTACTTGTGGCTACAGCGAGTGCATGCATAATTCTACTATAGGGCCAGAGTAATAGTGTAGTCCTGATCCAAGGTTTAAGAGACTTTGATCTTTTGGACTCCTGCTCCTCCCCTCTCCCCAACCGCTTCCTCCACCTCATTTCCTTGCATAGATGCTGTTGCTAATACAGATCGGCTCGGTGGGTGTGAATGAAAATATCAAATACTGATAAATCGGTCTGACATTCATATCCTTCTTTCTTTCTTATGTTTTTTTCTCTCTTATCTGATGATCTTTGGAGTTGGGTTGCTAAATCACTTCATAGAGGCTTGTTTTCAATTATAACTGCAGTGCCCAAGGATTCGAAAGCTTTCAATTTCCCCTAAGCTCTCCGCCATTTTCTTTCTTCTCAGCTCATTTTAGCAAGGAAAAACAATTTGACAAATACTCCAGTGATAGAATGCAAACACGTCTGAGCCTGGTCAATAGACTGAGACAAATTGTTAGTAGATAGGAGCAACATTAACATGTATAGAAATCCAGAGCAATGTGAAGTCAGTTATCCACCTGCTATGTATTAGAGGTCCTATATTTTACAAAGTGGATTCTTGTGAGATTTAAGTCATGTTAGAATGCTGTTACCTCCTCAAAAACATACCTGGAGTTGTGATTAGTTTCATTCACACGTTTGAGTTATTCTGTGTTATTAGTCTGTCTACATCTCCAGAGCTAAAAAAGCTCTGTTCCACCTTGTGATGTCATGATGTAGTGGTTTTCATGACTGACAATTCCAGGACTGAAATGATCAAATTTATTCTAGTGAAGATGTAACGTATAAATGAAACAACATTATAACATCTATCAGAAAATAGTGTAATATGAGTCCTTTATGTAGAACCATATATGTGGCTGTAATAGTTAATAATATTTTACCATTTCAACATGTTTGATCCTAAATATACTCTTCGCCAAGCCTAAACTTTAATAATTGAAGTATCATAATCAGTAAAACAAATAAAACTGACTTTTTTGAGCTCATTTAACAAAAGCTATTACCGTCATTTCCGGACCATAAGCCGCTACTTTTTCTCTCACTTTGAACCCTCTGGCTTATACAATGATGCTGCTAATATATAGATGGATTATTTGTTTATCAGCTCAGTGGATGCGCTCACAGCCTAAGTGCAGAAAGCGCTGCTGTCTGTGCGGTTAACATTGCAACATTAGCTAGCGCTGTTGTCAGCACTAAAACAGTTTATGACCATGTGATGCTAAACGAATATTAGTGAGTGGGATCTTAATGGTCCATATGCGTTAAATGCAGGTGAGTGCGTAAATCACAGGAATAAATATCTCAAACTTGAGTAGCCGGACATCCACTCATACCTGATCGAAACAACTAGCCCCTCCACCGGGAGAGACTGAAATCTGCTGAAATCCTCACTCTCTCTTTCTGGGTCTTTCTGCCGGAGACATATGTAGTTGAATGCGAAGTGACGTAGTCTGATAATCCCTCTCTAAGGCCTCCAGGGTGGGAGGAAAGATGCTCATTTGATTGTGTTTTGAACAGTAATTTTGCAGTTCATGCACACATTCTCCTCATGGAAAACACACGAAGAAATGCAGATGATGCAGCTTTTAAGATAAAGGCAATTGATGTGGCTGTCGCAGAAGGAAATAGAGCTGCTGCACGTGAGCTTGGCATCAATGAGTCGATGGTGAGATTTTGGCGACGGCAGCGTGATGAACTGACTCAACGCAAAAAGACGACAAAAGCTTTCAGAGGCAATAAAAGCAGATGCCAAAAACTTGAAAACATTCTTGAAGACATGGACACCTGTGGCCTATAGACAGGTGAGGTCTATATATGTACACTTTTTTTTCTTTTAAAACTGAGTTGATGCTGCTTATATTCAGGTGCGCTCAATAGTGTGGAAATTACGATAGCCTAAATCTTGTGAAATGATTTTGCAGTCACTTTGCCCTTGCCATTTTAGTTATCTAATGTAATTGTACCAACCTGAAGTAACCAGAATTAATCATTATAACCTCAGATGTAGGACACTCTACTATATTAACCTACTGAGAAAACACAACTATTAATCACAGTTGCTTTATATGGTACTTTAACAAGCACATGTTTCTGTTCATTTATGCAGGGGCCTGGTCTCAAAGAGGTCCGTGCTCCTGCATTTGTACTTCATCATTCCTCCACATGCATGAATGGCTGACCTTGTGATACAAATAGCCCATTTTTACATTTGCTGGGGTTGGATTCTGTCACCAGCAATAGCCTACAGGAAAGAGTGAAGCGGGATGGAAATGGTTTAGAGCTTTTTACCACATTTGCCACGTTCACATGAGAGCTTTAATTCAGAATAAAAATTACACTGTCTTGTGTGAAATTAAATATTTAATTCCTAATGAAAATGATTAAGTGAGTAAGTGTGTGGTGTATTCCGATTTTTAAGCCGAATTAATTTATTCCTCAATCATGTAAGCGTTCTTCTTAAAAATAATTCCGGTCGTTCAGTGCATGCTTGTTGGGTCCCCCATCTGACTCAATCTGGACGATCCGGCTCCACCAGTCCTCACTTCTGACTTTCATCCACTGCTCTTTGGATTTGCGAGCAGGATCCAGCAGTGGGCTGAGGTAGAGCAGCTGTTGACTCAGTTTGTCTTCTTCCTCCCTTCTCCTCCTCAGCTGACAAACGTAAAGCATGATGCAGCTTAATTATCATCAGAATGACTGCGGAAAAAGTTTGTATCACGTTTATGTCTGTGGCGTAACAACAAACCGAGATGACAAAAAGCTGGTAGTAGCTGAAGTGTGTGTTTTCTTCCAGTCGATGTAAATACGTTCATGCACCACTGTCCAGTCAGAACCCTTCCTGACCCCCAGATGTTTAGCAGAATTAAATAAAGGTGATTTAACATGTTTCCCATGTAAACCTCAATTCGGAATTATTATTTCCATGCAAACTCAAAGGACAATATTTTAATCCCGAACAGTTTAATTCAGAACAGTTAATTCGGAATTAAAAAACATCATGTAACCACGGCAATTGAGATAGTATTTTGTCACAAGACAAGATGAGAAGGTCGCTAAGATGAGAAGATGCAAGAGAATTTTGGCAAAACACTTAAAGGTCCTATATTATGGAAAATTGACTTTTTCTTGACCTTTAAGCCATGTTATAATGTTGTTACCTCATCAAAAACATAGCTGTAGTTCTGTTCATCATCCTCACAGCATTAGAATTTGTTTGCTCGACAGTAAGCGGGTACTTTTTTTTATTTAACCAATCGCTGCTATTTGATCGTGACTTATGTAATGCACCGCTAATGGGGCTAACTGATATATTAAGCTTTTCCCAAATATCCTAGGAAGAAGAGCAATAACGTCTTTCCCCTTGACAAAATTCCCCAAACATTCTCTTTATTCTGGCTTTAAATCCTCGATCTCCAGAATCGTTGCCAACACAGAATGTATGGCTCTTCGGTGATTGGCTGGTGCCTGGACTTGCACTTCGGGGGTTCTTGCAAACCGTCTAGTATATTCCAATTCCTGACCTAGATGCTGGAGAGAGTGTTTTGTTTCATTCACAAATGTTTGAATAACCCTTAATCAATAGTCTGTCTACATCTCCAAAGCTCAAAACGCTCTGTTCTCTA